GGTGCGGGGGGGGGTTCCCCCCGGGGCAGCCCCAGCCCCCCCAGTACAGCCGCCGGCAGTGCCCCGGGGACCTTGGGGACCACGCGGGGCGTGCACCCGGCGCTCGGCTCCACACCACAGCCCGTCCCCCGTGATGCCCGCCTGAGTCACCGGCTCCAGAGGAAACGCTCCCTTCCTGGCCAAAAAACAACCCGGCCGGCTCCTCCCCGCCGCCTGCCAAGGACATCGCGGCCCGGGCGGCACCACAGCTGCCGGGGTCCCCGGGGGAAGGAGGCCCGGCGTGGGGACGATGCCGCTCGGCGTGTGGGGACGATGCCGCTCGGCACGGGGACTCGCAGGGGAGCTGGCCGCCCATGGCGCTGGAGGGGGGGAGCCCCATGGGGATGGGGCAGCCTGGGTGTCCCTGTGCCAGGCTAAGGCACTGCCACCCCGCCATGGCCCCAGGACACAGGACGGTGTCACTGGGAGCCAGCAGTGCCCGTGGGCCACCGCAGGGACACCAATGTGTTTGCTCGTCACCAACAAACCGGGGTCACCTCAGGGCCAGAACCATGGCAGAGCCCCGAGGGGGGGCAGCTGGGTGGGCAAGGGTGGTACTGGGGTGGCACCAGTGACAGGTGGCACTGGGGCTGGGATGACACTAGGGTGGCACCAGGAACAGGGTGGGGAGGGGGTGGCACTGGGGTGACACTAGGGTGGCACCAGGGACAGGGTGGGGAGGGCATGGCACTGGGGTGACACTGGGGTGGCACCAGGGACAGGGTGGGGAGGGGGTGGTGCTGAGGCTGAGGTGACACTGGGGTGGCACCAGGGACAAGGTGGGCAGCAAATGATACCAGGGCCAGGGTGGCAATGGGGTGGCCTTGGAATTGGGGTGGCACTGGGGCTAAAAGGGGCACTGGAGTGGCACCAGGGCCAAGGGGGCAGCGGGTGGCACTGGGACTGGGATGGCATGGGGTTGGCACTGGGGCTGGGGTGGCACTGGGGGCCAGAGTGCCACGAGGGTTGGGGTGGCAATGGAGTGGCACCGGTGCCACGATGGGCAGCGGGTGGCACCAGCACCAGGGTGGCACTGGGGTGACACCAGCACCCCTGCGCCCCAGGGGCCGTGCCAGGGGAGGGAGGGGGGCGAGCAGGACGGGGACAGGCTGTTGGCACTTACTCTGCTGTATGGACTTGAGGGCGCGGAGGACGGTGGCGGCCAGGAGGAAGCCGCAGCCGGGCTGGTGGAAGCGGAGCCCGCCGGCGATGCTGCAGGCGGCCCCGGCGCAGACGGGCCCCATGGCGGCATACTGCAGCGGGTGGTGCCGCCGGCCCCCCAGCAG